TTTATTTTACTTGGATACATCTGTAGATATGATGGGTGTAATTAATTGTTCAGCTAAAAATGCAATTCCATGGTGCTTTTAATGATTTAGGTATACACAGCTTTAGTTCCCAGAGCAGACTAAAAATAGTGATTTTAATTTATTCCTGCTGCCTACAATTACCCACAACCATGTATTTTTAAATATTTCCAGCCTATAAAAATTACTAATTTTTGCCACTTGTGTTTATCTGCATTTAGACTTTGATTTGGATAAATTAAGCTCTCAAGTGTTCCTGCTTTATGAAACTCTGCGTGTTGTACACTTCAACACAAATAAATGACTTGCACCATTAGAGGTTTAAATAATGTGATGTGTTTCACGCTCAGCCTGAAGCTGGATTCCAATGAAGTTGCTAATGCACGTAATGATTAAGTGTAACTCAAATACTAACTGTGTTGTTGAAAACATGACAGGCAATAATTTGGTCTATTATATTCTGCCATTTAATTGCCTAGTACAGACATTCTCTGACACGTTATGAAGCAATGATTTACAATTATTCAAGCTGCAAAGGTCAGAAAGTGACATTATAATCATCTACATAGAGATCCCTTCTAATGCACAAAAACTAGGTAATGCCACACATGCAAAAAAAGAGAGTTTTACTGCATTAGTAACTTTCTATTTAAGGTTCCTTAAACAAGCTAAGAATAAACAATTCATAAGCACATTAATACACAAGAGAAAACGTCTTGATTCTCTTTTGAGATTCATGGGTTCTCATTTGAACCCACGAACCTGGGTGACAGATTTAGAAAATGTCCTTATCCTCTCCTGATTAGGTAAATTCTCCTCCACTATTTAACTCTATACACAAGACTGAAGACTAGACATAGGAAAAACACATAATCCCTAAACCGTGCAATCAGAACCCTTGTGAATGATGCACACAGTTTGGTGGATTTCCTAGGTTTATTAAAATCACAGGCTACTTACTAGTTTTCTACTAACTCTTATTTTTTAGTAACTAGTAGTGGAAAAATAAACCAATAACTCAGGTTGATCAATTTTACTCCTCTCATCCTACTGAAAAGATAATAAAATCTTCCCTTCTTGAGGCACTTTTTTCTGTTATACCAACATGTTTAATTTTTAACCACTCAAGTGCAATAAATGATCAACATATAAAGAACTGGGGAAAACAATAAAATTATTTAAAACAAGTCTAATATGAGAAAAGTGAAACAGAGAGATACAAATAAGAGAGACTGAATAACAGGATATTCAAGTAAAACCACTGCACAAGCTATGTTTTCCAAGCACATAAATCTGAGCCAAGCCAGAAAACCAGCAGCCCGGGGGGGGGCGGGCTGCCAGGAGCCAGGCGGCAGCTCTCATGTGCGCCCGGCGCCCAGGGTACGGAGCAAGGAGAGGCGGGAGCAGCCTCAACAACAGGTGTCAGGGCACAGAAACCAGGGGGTGGGTCGGTGAGCAGGAAGGCAACCGTGGACGACCGTTACTACTCATAACTTAAGCCCCTCACTACAACACGTTTAACCCCAAGGTCATCGTCTATACAGTGGGGAAAATAAACGTGAGATAAACAATCTCATGAAAGTACAGAGATCAACAAAAAAATCAGTTATAAGGCACACACTAAACCACAACACTGCATAAAAACTATTTATTAGGGTTATTATATGTATACTATTATGTACACACATAGGTATTATTAAATAAATTTAAACAAATTTAACAAAATCTATCTATAATGACTTTTTGGGAGCCAGTGATATTTTCAAGGTCTTGACTACTGAAAAAATCAAAGGCAAAGATCATGGACTTGGTGAAAATGAGTTTAACCTGTTTCTAAACATATGTCCCACACAAAATTATTAACTTCTATCTAGGAACGCTTTCCATTCTTTGTTATTTTCTCCTCCCTCCCTCAGATGTAAGATTAAGAAACTGTGCTGTTCAAAAACTGCTCCTTCTGAAAGTGAAAGTAAAATTAAGGGCTGTGCATGAAGGTATCCAGCCCACGTCCTCGGGCCGGGGTGAGCGAAGCAGTCCGTCTCTGAGCCGTCCACCAGCCGTGACGTGCACACCCGGACAAACGACACTTCCGTCCGAACCTCGCTCTGGCTGCCTAGTAGGAACTAGACGTTCAGCTTCTCCCGTCAAACTAACTCACGCCCATGATGTGCTGGAACTGAGATGTGCTGATAGGAGAACAATTACTCAGAATTCCACTTCAAGATTCAAAGAAAATCACTATTATAGGTTCAAAACATGAAATAAAAGTTGGAAAGGCAGCTCTTGTGAAGGGAGCAGCGAGTGCAGCCCCTCAGAGGAGCCGCAGGGGAGATCGGCAGCCGTGCATCTGACCAGCACCTGCGGTCTTCGTGCAGAGAGACCCGTGAACACATGAGGGCGAGTGGAACAATCACGAGTGACCTGAAACACCAGTGTTGGCCTCGCGGCGGCAAGACGCACTCTGTGGTCGCCACCAATTTCACCGTAAAATATTAGGGTTTGTTTTTTTCCAAGAAAAGCAGTGGTTACTAAAAATATAGTAGAATATTGTAAGCATTCCATTCTTAAAACGTGCCTGCCCCACTATTTTTATATATTATTATGCAATCACAACTATTTGAAACACAGCTCAATTCTTACCCCTCAAACAATGAAGAGGCTGTTGATAAAATTCTGAAAGACAGAGCCTGAGAGACTAACTACTGCAGACAAGAAAACAGTGCAAGCCCTTCTGTTCGTGACGAAACTGCGTGTTAATGTTCCTGAAAGGTCGGTTCACCTTTTAAAGCGTGATTTTTTAAAAGGTAAAATTTATAGCAATTAAAGCTAATGAAGAAGTGCAGCATGCGCTGCTTATGTTCAGGAACTAATAGGCCCACAGAGCATCTCCCCGACTGTTCGGCCAGCAGTGATGATGAACTGACGTTGTCAGTGATGCTGCTGTACGTTCAGTGCTCCCTGCCACCTCTAACGTGACGGCCCCTTTGTGCACGTTTCAGGGTGCACACTGCCCTACCCGTGGAAACGCAGGTACCACCCACGGCACTCTCAGCAACACCGAAGGGTGTCTACCTCCCCAGTTCTAGTTCACCCACGTCGATCAGGAGGCGTGTTCTAGTCAGTGTGCTGCAATGCCCCAGAGCAGGTGGCCACACTGTGAAAATGTGTACCCTGTACAAATTACTGTTGTGTGACTTTTAAATCGAATTCATTTTTAAACAGTTAAGAGATCTATCACTTAGTAGTCATAAAAGTGTGATGATGCCCATCACTCTAAGAGATACAATCTGGGATCTGGGAACTGTTCCTAGGCACGCAGACCTCCGTGACGGCAGCACAAAACTCAAGTGTGTCTGCATGAGTCTGCAGTTCTGCACCTGGGAGTCAACCAGGAACCACTACTGCAACGTCTCAGTGCCGTGTGGTAAGCAAGCACTCAGGGAAGCGAAGTATGCACTGTTCAAATTACACAATCAAAGCCAGTCAATCACAAATTGTGTCTGGTCCCACGTGTCAGAAACCGTTCTCTGAAAGCATCTCTTCTTTCCCTTTCCAGGGTCTGGGTACCCTCACAAAAATGAATGGAACTGGAATTCTAATAACCAAGTATGCAAAAATTGTTCATTTCACAGACAGGAGGAATAAACTGCTTATTGCTATCTAATAGCAAATTTCCATTGAAGCCAGGGCCTTTCTCTTTCCTATAACTCATATGGTAAAAACAGTAAATGATGTATCTTTTAAAATTCCAAGACCCAGAGCAATTAAAGTGAACCATTTGGCACTGGACCCTCTCAGCTAAAATCAGTAGCAAGAAAACTCCTTCTTCCACTGATCGTCAGGGGCTCTAGGGCAAAGGTTCGTCCTCATTTACTTCAGCTGCAAGTCACTGAACCATCACGTCTGCCGATGAATAAATCACAGACTGTGGCTGATAAAACTGTTTGCAAAGTTATTTGTAAAACTCTTGAAGGGTCAGAAAACACCATGGCATCCTGGGAGGAAGTGTACTGTCCAACAAAAACCAGAAGGTGTTTCTGACATAAAAGATACTTCTATGTACATGGTAGTGCCAAGCAAAGAAATCGTCTAATAAAAAGATAAACCTAATATATGACGAGCACGCTGCACTGTTTAAGTGAACCTAAAGTATTCTGTGGATTAGCCACAAGAACTGCAGGTTTCTCAGGTTTCACATAAAGTGTTTTTATGTGATGCACATATTAGTTAATTCCTGTAGCATAATAACATTAAAATATATTTTTAAACAGAAGTAGGATATTACGATTCGGCTCTGAATGTCCTATGATATACCATAGATGTCTCGGCGTTTTAAAACCCTTTAAGACGTCTCAGTCCTTCCTATTTAATGCAGCCCATTTGAGTGACAATTAAAAATTGTGAACGATCCCTTAGAGGGAAGAGCCATTAACTAAAAAAGGAAAACAAGTTTTGAAATAAAGTTACACAAAAACATACATTATACACTGTGTTTTTACCAGCTTCATCCTTGCAATAATCAGTAAGCAGCTGTCTGAAATTAAGCCTTTTTCTGCCTTTTTTCCGTACAGAATACGTCCGATGGATCCAAAGAGCCATTAATGTGATTACAGTTAAAGCAGCAAAAGGGAAAAAAACACACATATACATCCTAAAGCCACATGATGTATTTCTTATGTCTTTAAATGGAATTTCCAGTTCTCTCTGGCAATGTGAATGAACATCCTATAATTTAGTCAATTTACAGATTACAGGTTCAAATTGACCTTGTAGCCCATAAAATTGCTCATCTTCAGCACAGGATGAGAAGTAGGGGAAGAGTGTCATAACTGTGTTTAAGGAATTTACCATAACAATGGGAAGGGGGCCCTGCATGCATAATTCCAGCCACTCTCCCTGCTATCGGCTCCGAATTCTGAAACAATGGGTGCCCCGCACATGCTGCCTGGCGCGCGCGCCCGGGAGGGTTTCAGTTCACTCACCCACACACATGACACTTGTACTCCCTCATCCCAAGGTGCCTTTTGACGTGGTTTCTGGCATCGCCAAGCTGAGCTGTTGCAAAATGGCAGATCTTGCACTTGAATGGTTTTGATCCTGAGTAAATTCAACATAAAATACGATTTGAATTTGAATAATACAGGACTGGTAGTTTAAAAAGAGGCTTAGTTCCTAAGTCATACTTTTAATCTAATTACAAATTCCTGTCCCCAAAATGAAACACTTGGATTCCTTTCTAACTTGAAAAGACCTGCATTCCATAATTATTCCACCAAGAAGATTGTTTCAGTGAGTGCTCCTAACTTTCAATAGCATTTCTAAGATTTAAAATCAATGGTGATGCAGTTGAACAGTACTAAGTAGATGAGATGAGCTAAATAATTTTAAATATTTTCCTTAAAATACACAAAAATATCTTTCACAGGCACTCCACATTTCAAAGTGGAGCACTTTAAAAACATAAATGCACGCAGGGTAGCTGATATTTTCTACAAGTGTTTATCATCAAATAAATAAACTTCTTAGTGGCACCTCCTCATTTCCTCATATTTCTGCAGCTTAAAATTTATTCACATTAATAATGGGATTTTACATTTTTTGACATTTATTCCAAATGATTCACTATGCTACTATTTTAACAGCATACAATATAAGAATATGTACAGTGGGTAAAGCACTTGTTTTTATGGTCATTTTATAGTCAAAAATCTGCTGATTCTGCAAACCAAAAGTACTAACATTTGGTTATTTCCTAAAGAAATAAAATTAATCTATACTCACTGAGAAACCAAAATTACTTCGGAGTCAACAAATTAAGCATCAGTAAGAGTGACCCAGAATAACAGCTGCTGGATCCCGAGCACACACCTTAGTGAGAAGCTGCGCTTCGGAAGGTGCGACATGCATGTGCCAGCTCCTGATTTTCTAACCACTGACTCTTCGAGTCAGTCAAAATCACAAAAATCACAGTTTAAAGTCAGCACAATGTGCTTCCAGATTTTTCATATCATGTGCAGTCCCTATTTGGTGAAATACCTCTCCTAACTTGGTTAGACAGAATTGGAAATATGTGAACTTGAATAAATATACAAAAAGAGCTCAAACCAAAAAATTGAAATAAATCACATTTGATCAATGAACCTCTGTGCAGTGTGCCCTTGGAAAAAAATCCTCCAAGAATACTTTGTTGAAATTGAAGCACTCAGTAAAAAATTTTAGAGTCTTAAATTTCAATTTAATTCCCAAAAGCTGACCAAAAAAGTGAAGCATTTAATTTTAATCTTCTAACAGAAATAAAAAAGTCAACAGTACTAAGCACGGGCAGACAAGGTTGAATATTTCACAGTTCAATGACAATGAAGCCGGATCTCTTAATACTTCCATTTCTGTTAGAAGTAGATGTAAAATATATTTAGCACCCGAACGGTTATATCTAGTCAGCTTTATGTCTGAATGTCAAAAGCAGGTTGAGGCTGCAGCTCACAGCAATCACATCCTATCCATCACATTAGAAACTACAGTTTATCTAAATGATTCTGATAAAACGAAGCCTATCACTACTTTGAAACACTTCATCTCAACAGAGACCTCTATAAAGGGACTTGCAGAAGAGGGGAGTCAGAAGAACCACTGTAGCTGCACTTTGAATTAAAATGCATTCAGGATAATAAGGTAATTAGGACATTATCAAGCAACGGCAACACCAAGACTTCAGACAAAGAAGATAAAGCTCTCTCAGCCTTGGGAGCATGCTCGGTGCCAGGACTCAGAACACCTGTCTGGCGGACCAAGGGCTTTGTCCAGCCTGCCCTGGCACTGTGGGAGCACAGCACACGGCCCCCCCGGGGCCAGGCGGCGGCCCAGCCGGCTCCTCGGGTCCCAGGGGTCACTGCCAGGGTGCTGACGGCACAGGCGTGAGCTTCCGTGTTGTCAGCTTCCCTGCGGCACCACAAAGGCCCCAAGACCAGAGCAGACTGTGCTCACAGCTCCTTTCTGTGCCATGAACATTCAAACCCAAGGGGACCGGAGGGCATACTTTCCCGTGTAAACATACATAAATATACATGTGCTCCCTTTTTCCTAACACAGTTTCCACTTTCAAGCTTGTTAAGCAAGCATCACATTTACAAGGCACGTTTTATAAAACCACGTAATTCTAAACGTGTTTTTAAGGGGCATTGTGATTACGATAAACTGTCAACATTCTCTTCAATAGTTCTGTTGCTTGGGACGGCAGGGCCCTCAGCAGGTCTTTTTCCCTCTCATTTGGACTGTGACGTGCTTTGAAAGGGAAAAGAAAGCGGCTCTTGAGCTTTCTGGCTCCTCACAACGTCACCAACAAGACTCCGAACCTTTAAAAACGAAGCCTCCACGGGGACCTGCGCAGGCAGGTTCGCAGCAGCAGTTGCCGCTGTCACACAAACGCGGATGTGACGTCCACATCAGAAAGTCACTGGAACTTGAGGTCCTAAAGGATAAAGCCGGAGGCAGACAGCCCATCATCTCATGCCTGCAAACCACAGCCCGAATTCTACCAGGCGGGCCAAAAAGTGCGTCTGGTTTTTCCTGGACGACGGCTCTAAGAGGGCTTAGTAATCTCTCACTTCATTTGAAACAATTTTGTTACATTGTATCTGACAGCTGTCACATCACCATGCATTAAAAAAAAACTTATCAAAAGTGGTGAATTTTTGTGCAGCCATTTTAATATTGAAGATCGAAGAAGATACTTAACATTTTTGCCATGTTTTATTGTTTTAAGAAAGGTACAAACACAACTGAAATGCAATAAAAAAGGTTTGTGCAGGGTATGGAGAAGGTACTGTGACTGACTGAATGTGTCAAAACTGGTTTGCAAAGTGTCTTGGTCACTCTGGCCAAATAATTCTTTGCTGTGGGCTGTCTTCCGTCCTGGACAGCGTTTAGCAGCAGCCCTGGCCGGCACCCACTAAAAGCCAGTCGTACCTGGAGACAGCCAACACAAAACACCTAACTCAACAAAGTTAGTGATGGAAATGAAAAGTGTGTCTTCTATTTTACAGAAAAATGTAACGGGCTTTTTGACCGACCCGGTACAATCCTCCTTAAACACGGACACTTCATTCACTCATTCGCTCATTCACTCATCCAACAAACAGCACTGGCAGCCAACTGCGTTTGGGCACAGAGAGGAAGCGGAACGAGAGCCAACTATGTGTAGGGCAAAGTAAGGCCCGAATTCTCAGTCTGCTTACAGTCCACAGGCTGGCTCTCCTAAGCCATCTCTCCTCAGGCTGATTTGGCCTCTGAAAACCGGCACAGAGGAAGTTACAAACACCAGCAGCCCTAACTGGGGAGCTTTTCAGTGAAGTCACACAACTCGGTCTCCCTGCACACGAACACTGTCACACAGCACCAATGGCCAGTGCACTCTGAACACGAAATGAAGGGCTTCAGATAGTCCCCCAGCCCAGAGGCATCTTCCACGCTCCACGGAATTTCAAAGCTCTAGCCGACAGAACACTGGGGGGGAGAGAGGCACAGGGTCCTCATTCCGCTCGAGTGTAGGGAAAGGGGACGGACACTGCCTGCTCTCGCCAGTGGCACGCACAGTGGGACACTCGGAGATGCTTTTTTTCCCTGCAATTCTTGATGACCAAAACTCATTTATTTCTTACAGTGCTGCTTTCACCATTCTAAGGATGGGAAGAAAAGGTTACATAAAACATATAGTAAATCACAAAGTATGAAAACAGGGATTGGAAGAGTAAGCCCTTTTCCAGTTAACCATCAATAACACTCCCTGCACCACTATTTCATGGACAGAAGCGATGTATCAGGAAAGTAATTCATCCTAAGATGCGCCAAGAAACAAACTTGGAGTGACAACCTGGAGGGCAACTGCCCCAGAAAAATGACTTGTGAGACTGGAACAGCAGACTGGCGTTGTGGGGCTTCAGAACACAATCAAATGAGCTTGCTGATAAGCCCAACACGACATGTTAAAAAGTACGCTAACTTTTACTAAATGTTACAATCAATGATGTAACTTATATAAGTAGGGTTACTTTGTCACATATTGATAGTTACTTCACTTTCACATCCACATTAACTTGATTTTAAATGCAATTAATACATATAGTCAAGGAAGACTAATGGACTACATTCTGCACTTAACCTGGTGGACATTTTCAAATGGCACAAGTGACCAGTGCAAACCTATTTTGCATTGTAAACGACTAAATAAATCTTAATGGATTAAGAATGATCAGCTATCAACACACAAGGGAAATTAAGTGCTGAAATGCCCACATTGATTATTTTAAATTATTAGCCTTACTCTGTTCTTGAATTTGTATGCTTTTAGTGAGCTTTAACACATTTACAAGACTTATTGACTATAATTACAAGAGAATTCAAGTAATGGACACATCAATTATAAGCAACATGTCTTGACCAGACAGTTGCATAAAGAATTCTAAAAAGAGCTCCATTAGCATCTTCCTCGTAGTTTTGTTCAGTTGTATCTGCCTTAAGAGGGCATATTATGAAAGTACGTATTCTCTGTACACATGAACAAGCCCAATTTCTAAAACCACGGCATCTCAGAAAGGAAGCTGCACCAGAGCACCAGCAGACGTTCGTGACAGCCAGCAGGGCCCCGCTGCACTGGGAAGGGTCGGGATCGAGAGCACAGATGTGGTATTTTCCTGGATTAATCTGAAGCAGGGTTCCCTGCTGCCTTCACCAGTGAAAAACTTCTGTCTGTCTTTAATCGCCCTAAACTATTACTAATGTTTCATCCCCTTTTGTCTTCTCCCTTGTGACGATGCAAAAAGTTTCAAAAACTGCATGATTTTAAAGTGTATCTTTAATAATAAGCCACTATTTTAAAGTACAGTAAAATAAACCTTACAGTTTTAATGAAAATATGTTCATTAAAATGTGAATTTATTATTCAAATCCACTCATGAATTCAACCATGGAGACAGAACCTGTCTAAGCAGAGCACAGTGATTTAGAAAAGATGTCTATTTAAAATAAAGAATGCATGGCAGGTTTACAGAAACAGTACAGTGAATTTTTACATAAATTTAGAAGAGTGGCTTATACATTTTCCAGCAAAAAAAAGTTTTTAAAAAAATTTCTACCTGAAACTAGACATGAAGAGGGAACACTGCAAGTGCAGAGCCCGGAAACCCGACCAGGTCCCGTCTCCATGACACCGAACCCCAGGACACGCTGCCGTAGAGGAGCATCGGCTGCTTTCGACGCTCGGAGTGCAGTGCTGCCGCCTGGGAGCCGCACTTTCGCACATAAACCATGTGGCAGTGAGTGTTTTTAAAGCCCTAGAGTTGTAGGGAAACTTTTATTACCTCACTCCTCAAAAGCCACTTAACATGTCCTCTGAAATGCAACGTGTCACTGGATAGACACCTGGGAAACCAAAGGGTTAGGACTCCGAGCATCCGAAAGGCTCTAAGAGTCAGGACGGCCCCGGAGGCCCTAGGGGGAGAAGAGGACTCTGACAACGTGGGCGGGAGCTAGTGGAACAGCCTGTCTTCGGGACCAGCCAGGCTCCACTGCCCTGAGAGACGTCGGGTGTCAACAGTGACACGCGGCAGCCGCCCGGGCACCCCCAGCAGAGCCCCGGGGAAGGCCAGCAGCACCTCCGCTGGGAGGGGTGCCTGGACTCCACCCTGCACGTGCACGTCATGGCGAAGCACGAGCGTGCGGCTGCGGCTCACGTACCTGTGTGCGTGCGGATGTGAGCCAGGAAGGCCATGGAGTTGCTGCTGCGACACAGCTTGCCGCAGTACTTGCAGACGTTGCCCTGGTTCTCCTCCCGCTCGCGGTTGATCTGCTCGGTGTCTTCTACGATGTACTTGTTCACCTCGCGGAGCAGCTCCTCGTGCTGCCCTTTGATGTGCAGGAACAGGCTCTGCTCCGAATCGAAGGGCTCCGTGCACTTGACACACTTGAAGGTGGCCCCGCCCTCCGGGAGCTCTTCCACGCTGGCCTGCTCGTTCCGCAGGTGCCCGGCGCTGGCCAGGTGCTGGTGCAGGTTGCTCTCCGTGTAGAAGGACTTCCCGCACAGCAGACAGTGGAAGTGCTTCTCTTTCGTGGGGTGCTTCATGGCTATGTGCACATTCAGGCCGCTCAACCCGTCGGCTAAGAAGCCGCAGTCGTCACAGCGGATGCGCGTGGACTCGCCAAAGGAGCTGCCTTCACACTTCTTCCTTTTCACACCTGGAGCGCAGTCCCTTAAGGGCAACGCACTCGCTCTCCCCTCTGCTACCAGCAGACCTTCTTCGGGTGGGTCTACCAGTTCACCATCTTCCGGATCCTTTATTCTTATTATGGAAGAATCAAACCGGCTGAAACTGTAGGTGGCCTGTCCTTTATCGTCAATACTGATGACAGTTTCATAAACGCCGTTACTTTCGATGGTGCTGTCAGGAGCTGGGCCGTCCTCCTCCAGGATAATCTCAGTTCCCTGCTGAGGGTGTATCAGAATGTCCTGACTTTCCACTCGCACAGCTGTCAAATCCACTGAGCTCTGCACGTGGCCAACTCGGTCCTGACCACGGCTGTCCAGCTTTAGCTGTCCCTCTGTCATTCTCAGCACAATGGGAACGGCGCTGTCGGCTGCCTGGGCTCCACCCAGAGCCCTGGGACACACAGGTTTGCTGAGGGTGCCACCTGCCTTGTCTCCTCCATTCCCGCCATCGCTGTCACAAGGTGCACTTGGGTCCCCGATGTCACTCAATCTGTTGTGGTTGTTCCTCACTGTCTCGTAATTCAAAGCTGAGCTCCCCAAATTTCTGTCCTGAAATCTGCTTGGGGAGCCACGATTAGAGGAAATGTTAAGGGGCACCATCTGCTCCGGTTCCCTAACTTTTTCCTTAGCAAGCGGCTCTTGGAAAGTTTCACGGAAGGATCGGTCCCCACCGACATCGGGCTCTTCTTCGGTCTCAACTTCCACGGAGTCAGGAGCACAGAGCACTATGGGCATGTCCACACGAGGATTCTCATCTAAAGTAGAATGATCAGCAGCATTTCTAGATTTCAGAGTTTCAGGTGGTTGATCTGAAATTATCTGAAATTCTGCAGAATTCTGTTGATGCTCTTCCTCCAACACAGGGATGTTTTTGGACATTTCTGGGGACCTGGCTTCCACGTCAGAAGAGTTCAGGTAAGACCGCCTTTTCGCCTTGTGCTTTTCAGTGGCGGCGTGCCTGGTCATCTCCCGATGGGTCACAGCATAGTAATCACACGCCATGCAGTAAAACGCAAACTCTCGCGTGTGCTTCCGTTTCACGTGCAGCTCCAGAGCAGCCGGAGAGTGGGCGCTGAACTCGCAGTGCGCACACCTGTTATCGCCCATGCCCGCGGCGTCCCTCTGGGAGCCCGCTCCCCCCTGTGGCCCCAGGGCCTCCGGCTCTAGAGATGCTTGCTCCCTCTCATCAGCACGGTGACTGCCAGCTTCCCCACCTGTAGAAGGAGGTGCATTTTCGACTCCAACTTCCATCGGGTCTCCATGCTCTTGCCCAGGCTTTCCTGAAGGGGGGGGCTCTGGCGCAGTCGATTTACCAGCGTGCCCATCTGAACCCGCATTCCTGCCACAGGCTTCGAGGTCACCCCCTTCGGGGCCAATGACAATGTCTGAACTTCGTTTTCCATTTGCTTCTATTTCTACACGCCCTTTGTGTTTCTTGGTGGCACAGTGGCGTTCCATATCGCCCTTAGTTACAGTGTAATACTTACACACTTTGCACAAGTAACTGTACTGGTGACTGTGTTTTCGTCTAATGTGAACAGTCAAGTTTGTGATGCTAGAGGCCAAAAGGCCACAGTGTGAACACGTCCGCGAGATGCTACCTTTCGGCCTCCCTCTCTTGGGAGCAGCGGTCAAAGCCTCGTCGTCTTTGGTGACCAGAGCAGACTGTGACTCTGCCTGGGCAGCCAGTGTGCTCGTCCCCAACGAGGAGTGCTCCTGTGACTGCACGCCGTCTACGGGGCCTTCCGCCCTTCCACTCCCGGAGATGGTCAACTCTTCCTTTCTGTCACTGGCACCTATGCAGACCCTCTCAATACATTCTTCAAAGCTTAACCCGATGTTGTTCTTCTTAGCGTTTTCAAGATGTTTGCTTCTCTTAATGTGCTTCTCCATTCCTTCCTTGCTCAGTGAGTAAAGGTTACACGCTTTACAAAGAAAGTGGTAGTCCTGACCGTGCCGGAGCTTTATGTGCCTCGTGAGGACCGTGGAAGACCTGGTTTTATAGAAGCACTTCTTGCACTGGAACTGCGGCTTACCGGGATGCCGTCCTTCACTGCCATGGCTCGCCCGGGCCCTCGCCGCTTCTTCCTGCGCTGCGCTCCCTGACTTGCTCACAGGCCCCTTTGTGCTTTCTGATTCTGAAGCGCTCAGAGTCTGTAGAAGGGAATCACCGCCGAATGACTGCGAAGTCTTTGGCTGACCCAATAAGCCAAGATGCTTCTCCGTCGTCTTGCGTTCCTCCACATCCTTCTCGGACGAGGCGGACGGATCACTGGGACAGCAAGAAAGGCCCGTGCCGTGCTTGTCCTTCACATGGTCTCTGAGACGAGCCTCATCCGAGGGGACGAAGGAGCAGCACTGACAGCGGAGGGCAGAGGCGGCTGGCTGGAGCTGGCTGCTGTGCACGTGCTCCTCCGTGTCCCGCCTCGACACACTGGGAAAGTCGCGGCTCTGGCAGGGCAGTCGCACCTCCCTTGCACGACACCTTTGCACGTGGACTTCCAGCTCTGTCCTACCTGCAGCCAGCGGACCACAGTCTGCGCATGCCCGTGATGTCTGCAGGTCGGAAGCCGCTCCCCCCGCCGGCGGGCCCGAGGAGCACAGGAGGCGGGCGGTTCTCTCGCCCTGCTGCAGCTCCCGGGTTTCTGAGGAAGCCTCGCTCGGACCAGGGGCGCCATCGGTCACTGCTGCAAGTCTAGGCACGGACTCCGCCTCGCCTGTCTTCGTCTGTGTTCTGAAGTGTTTCATATATACTCTCAGAGTCTCGCTGGTGCCTCTTTTATTAATTCCTAGAAGATTAAACCTTTTCTTGGCCTGGCCTTTCATGGGGAAGGTGCCGCTTCGCCGTCGGAAGCTATTAGCCGAGGTGAGAGCACTTCGCTCAGGTCTCGACCTCAAGGTTGTGCCGACGCCATGTGCTGTTTGCAAGGCCCTTCTGGTAGATTCCAGCCTGTCTAAGAGACCCTGCGGGGTTACTAAGGCCTCTAACTTCTTACTCTGGTTTTCAGGACTTGGAGTTGTACCGAGGGAAGTGACACATTCTTCGGCAATCTCCCCCTTTTCCAGCAAAGTGTTCCTGGACGGCCTCATCTCCACGAGAAGCTCACTGCTACTTCCACCCTGTTTAGAAACGCTTCCCCTGAGGTCTTTAAATCTGCTTCCATCTCTTAGCCTTTTTGAATCACTATTCTTTGCTGCTTGGTTAGTAGCTCTTGGTTTTGTGAGAACACTTTTTATTCCAATGGTACATGGTTTCTTAGGAAAAGGTTGTTTTGTTAAGATCTGCACAAAGCCTCCACGAGCAGCCAGGTTCTGGCGCCGCAGGTGTGTTTTGCCGAGACGATGTGCATTCAGAAGGTTCTCTTCCGCACACTGAAAGCCACACAGATCACAAGAGAAGACTTTTTTCTGTGGCCCATGTGTCTGTGTGCCATGCACCGGCAGGGCCGCGCTGCCCTCCGCTCTGTGGCCGCAGTGGCAGTAGGCCGCGTCCTTGGGCGGTGACGTGTGACATGCGGCGTGCGTTTCCGGATCAGAGCGCGAAGAGCACAAATGACCGCACGAGCGGCACCTGGGCACCGTGTCTACGTCCCCAGCGGTGCCACCAGCACCAGCCATCTCTTCCGTGGGGAGAGAAGCATCTGTTCCTGGGCCCAGGGAAGGCACTTCCTGCGCAGACGTCTTTCCAGAGGCTGCGTTCACAGAAGCCATGTCCGCTGTGCTCAAGATGCAGAGAGGGGAGCCGGCCACAGGGACACCTGCATCTCCCCCCAGGCGGTCGTTTGGGACGGGCGCCTGCACTGTGTCACCCGATGGGACACCTGCTTCTGAGCCCCCGCGAGTGCCCTGCTCTTCACGTCTGAGGGGTTCCGCCTCACCTAACTTCATCCGTTTGGAAGCACGGCTGTCTCCATCTTCCTCTGAAACGACCCTGCCTGCGGAGTCCGGAAAGGCTCTTTTGCGCATGGAGTTCTCAGAGGAGCCTGTCGTCCCGTCAGACACAAGCCCAGCGTCCACATGGCAGGATGCAGTCTTTCCTGAGTCTCCGGCTTCTCTGCTCACATCTTCGTCCTCGTCGTTCTCCGGTTTCTTCTCAGCATCCATCACGGACGAAGTGCCACAGGAGCTCCTGCTGTCACCCGCAGCTCACGTGGTACTCAGAACCTGTGACGAAAATGAACACGGTGTTACCCTCTGAGCATAAAGACAGATGCAGGCCAGCCCAAAAGTCCACGTGAAATGACACACTGGAGTGAAGATACCATAAAACTAGCCTCAGCGAGATTTCCTCTCTGCTGAGGTCAACCCGGCCACGCGACCCTTTATGAAAACTCTGAAACTGGATCTGGGGAACACCACAAAACCATGCCATAATGCAGAGAGCAATGCTACGGCATCTTTGATAGGAAAGAGGGCTCTCTCAACCAGCATGCAGAAAGAACTCCCAGGCCTCAACTCCCATCACCAGTACATTTGCATTTACCACTCTTTTCTCCCGAACGGAGGAGCCCTCTTTTCAAACCACGTTTCCAGGAGCCCCCTCTGTGAAGCAGACCACAGCAAAACCGCGGTGATGCTGGTCAGGCCGTCAGCCTCCCCCCGTGAGGCCTCCCCAGCGGGAGCCCTGGTTGTTCCCAGAGTAAAAGAAATGTATTTAAGGCACTCCACTTGCCCATCATCAGCTTCCTCATCCAACAGCCGTGCTGTGTTGTCTGAGGTCAAGGGCAAAGGGAAGTGCCCATGGTGGAGTAGGAGCAATGACGTAAATTTGGGGGAAAAAAATTTACTGAGTAAAATGCTTTCAAATCAATGACATTGATTTTATTTTTCATTATGCTATTTAATTCAATTAAAACATACCACTTTCCGATTACTTTACACCACAACTGGAATATTCAACCAAATGCCATTTGATTGGATGCTAATAAAAACTAGTCACACGGTATGACCTCAAAGCCAATGATAACTGTCTCAGTTACTTTCCCATAACAAGAAACCAAATGGAGGCCCTGGCCTTGACCCCACCGAGAGCGGGGACAGGCAAGCGTATGTGAGACCTCACACCCAAAGAAAAAACTGGGTAAATTGAACCTTTTAAAAATAAAAACTTCAAATGACACTATGCTTCAAAGGCCACTACCAAGAAAATGAAAAGACAACCAACAGGATGCAAAAAAACTTTGCCAAATCATATATGACTTAATGTAGCAATGTACAGAACTCTTACAGTTCAATAATAAAAAGACAAACTAATTTTAAAATGAGCAAAGGAGCTGAAGATACTTTTCTCTAAATCAGATACACAAATGGCCAAAAGCCCATGAAAACACAACCTACGCAGTAAGCATTAGAGAAGTGTAAAGAAAACCATGGCGCAGAACCAGTCCACACTCGTGAGGGGGGCTGGAATCAGAAGGTCAGATGACAACGACGGACAGCCAGAGCGGAGAGCGATCGGAACCCTCATACGTGCCGGGGAGGACGTCAAATGGTGAGGCCACTTTGAAAAAATGTCTGGCAGCTCCTTGAACCACTAAGCGAGGAGTCCCCAGAAAGCCCATCAGTCTCACTCCTGGGAATACACCCAAGGGAACAGAAACTTATGTCCCCATAGAAACACACACACAAATGTTCAGAGCAGGTGTTACCCATAATAGCCCGGAAGTAGAAACCACCCAGATGTTCATCAACAGATTAACGGATAACCTGGATGTGATACCCAAACAAGGGAATACTATTCAGCCACCAAAAGAATAAAGTACCAATACCCGCCACCACATAGATGAGCCTTGAGATCACTATTCTAAGGAAAAGGAGTCAGTTAAAGAAGACCACATCAGATGCTTCTTACAGACAATGTCCAGCATGGGCAAATCTGCAGAGACCAGAGCAGGTTACTGGCTCCTTTGGGGGCACATGGCAGAAGAGTACAGGGCTTCTTTTTTCAGATGATGTAAATGTTCCAAAATTCATGTGGTGATGGTTTTACATATCTGTGAATATATGTAAACCCATTAAATTGTAGTGGGGTGTTTTTACATTTTTTTTCTTTTACTGATTCTGCAGGGAGGAGAAGGGAGGGAGAAAGAGAGGAAGAAAAGTATCAGCGTGAGGGAGAAACATGGACTGGCTGCCTCTCGCACAACCCGGGGCCCAACAAGCCTGACACCTGGACAGGTGCCCTGACGGGGACGCAACTCCGTGACCCTTCGGTTTGTAGGACAACACCCAACCCACTGAGCCACACCAGCCAGGGCCACTGCACTGTAGGTTAAATGAGTAGATTGTATGATAGATAAACATCTCAATAAAGTTATTTAAAAGTATAGAAACTGTCATGTATAATCTACAATACAAAATCATCTTGTATTTGATACTGTGTTGCTCTTATTAAAGTAAAAAAGATAATGCACATACTTTTATTACACGTACAAGATATTCACTCTTTTTTCAGAATGTGTTCCAGAAAATGTAAATCATATAAGAGGCTAATAGATGTTCTGTTTTGATTGTTTTTTTTTTCTTTTGGGGGGCAGGGGATATCCCTGGCCAAGTAAGTTTAGAAAACACTGGTTTGAACAAAATCCCTTTACCACAGTATTTCTCAGTACATAGTATTTCCCAAATTAATTTCATTACACAATCCTTTGTTTATAAACAATCGAGAAACTGGTGTTTCAAAGGACCCTTTAGAAAATGCTCTTTTAGAGAAAGCATTGGTTTTGGTATTCAACATTTGTAATGGGAGAGCAAAAAGGGGAAAGACTAAATGAATAATCACATGCCTGATCCAAACATTTCATTTAATGCCACCGTGTACTAAGTGTGCTTGGTTATAGATACTGGAATCGCATCAAAGGACAGCGTACGATTTATGCCTTATAGTGCGAGGGTGCAACAGTATTTCTTTAACATCCACGTTCTGTCCAGGACCTCCCTGCCCTCACGGTCACAAAGAGTCATGAGGACCAGTGCACCCCCCACGCACGGGACCCCTAGAAAAGAAAAACAGATGACCCTGTAGGAAACCACAGGCCTCTCTGCCTCGGGCACCAGAGGGCAGCGGTCCCCGAGAAATGAGACCTGCCCCATGGGCACCCGAGCAGGCGAGGAGTCTCCCTGGACAAGTGACTCAGGCCACAGCACAGGGAGGGGCCTCCCAGCAGAGCAGAGGGGCAGCCAGTGGTGGCCAGGCAGGGGACAGGAGGGGGGCGGTGCCCAAAGGAGAAGCACGGGGGTCTGCGGAGGGCTCCGAGGGGGTGTCCCATTAGGACAGACAGCACTGCCATCTTCCCGAAGAATGGGCTCACGGCCCTCACTCTCAGCCTTCGGTTCGCCTCCTCCTGAAGCAGCCCCGCTCCGAACCCTCCACAGGAGGTTGGCTTGCCTGCTGCAGAAGCCGGTGGAGATGGGTTCAGACACTGCGCCTTTGGGGGCAGGAGGGCCTGGCTGCCTCTGCTCAGCGCACAGGCCCTGCTGCATCGTCAGCGGTGTGCCCGCGTGGCTGGGCCATGGACGTCGAAGCTGCCACCCTTCTCCTGGCCCGTGCGGTAGGGCCGCTCGCTGCTCACACCCCCGCACAAGTCCTTCGGAGAACATGTATGTTCCCGGGGGTGCGAGTGCCTCGGGTGCTGCTGCCGGGTCACCAGGCAGTGTCGGGTGGGCTTCGCCAGGCTCTGCTGCAAAGTGGCGTACAGTGGCCCTACTGTTTACAGAGCCACCAGCGATGCCAAGAATTCCGAGTGGCCCACGTCCTCGCCCCCCTCGGACGCCATCAGCCTTTTAGACTGTGGTCACTGCGGTGGGTGAGCGTGGCTTTCCTGCATTTCCCTGATGACCAGTAATGGTGCCCAATACTTCGCCTTGTGCTTTGTGAAGTGCTTGCCAGCGTTTTGCCCATTTTGTGATTCAGTTGTTTACTACTGAGCTGGAGGCATTGCTTAGATATTCTGGACACAATCCTTTGTCGGGTATTTGTTTGACAAACACTCTCTCCCTCTGATTTTGTTAAGCAGAAGTTTTAAGCCTCAATGAGGCTGACTGTCTTCCTGTTCCGGTGAACAGTGCGTCTGCTTTACTTTCCCTCCTGCACGCAGGGTACCCGCCCTCCTGTCCCAAGAGCCCAGAACGGTTCCAAGCAGGCGAGGCGCTAGAATGAGTGAATGCCTCACTGTGACATCTCCTAGACGCATGAAGAATGCCTGAAATACACTTCAAAACAGACCAGGAGAGGGGCACAGTGAGGCTACGTGCTGACAATGACCAAAGCTGAGTGACAGGGACAGGGGCTCCATATACGAGTCTACAGGGTTTTCCAAAGTCTGTACGTGTTCGTGTTTGAAAATGGCCACAGCAGAAGTCAGTTCAACGTCTCCCAGTGCCTGATCTGGACTGGTGTGAAGCCTCCTCTTCCTGATGCCGAGCGGGCCCACTGTCTCGTACCACTGCAGCAGGCTGGGCGGGAGGCCTGGCTTCAGCACGGCACGCACAGAACACGCAAGCTCAGGCTTCAGGGAGACGCACAGGCATCACGTCTGTTCAGTGTAAATGTTCTCATAGTGACACCCGACTCATGTGTTTAGAGACAAAAGAATGACAACTATACAAATATGCAGAAGCAAAATAATGACGTCCTTTATTGTCTCTAGAATGGCCCCCAGAACTGTAAAACAGAAGAAGAAAATGTTTGTCCACTTGTCATTTCCCAACTAATTTTTTTAATTAGTGAAATAATTCAACATGTCATTATATGAAGAACATTCAACATACACACGCCGAGTGCCCACCATGTGAAAGCAACACGGGGCTGCCGACACCCCTCTGCCTGCAGCAGGCTCTCGGTCTGTCGGGGCCACGGGCAGAGGGACTGCAACACAAGGCCAATCTGGTGGCTGCGTGTGTGACATAAGCTAAGACCTAAGCACAGGTGAGCAAAGGATCAGACCACCAAGTAGGACATCTGGCTAAAAGAGCAGAAGTACCACGAGAGCTAAACCTTCAGGAAACGAGAACCATGGCTTTCTTTCACTGAGGGGGCAGAAAGAGGTGAACAGCTCCAGTGGGAGAAGGGCGTGGCAAAGCCAGGGCACACGCACGGTGAGCTTCAGCGACTGTCAGCCACCCGGGCAGCTTGCCGCGACACCGCGGACTTCCTACTGCCTGCT